ATCTATTTATAAAACAAAAATAAAATATCAATGTCATGTTACAAGTCAACAGCATTCATTGCTATGCGGATGACAGTACCGGAGATGCCTTGTACACCGCCATGCTAATATGTCGCAGGCAAAAGTTATAGAGTACCGGAACAAACTTGTGTCTGAAATCGAAACTTCACTCCATGAAGTTTCGGTTTAAGGTCTGAAAAAAATTGCAAAAAAACTTGCAATTCCCCTGGTATTGTGGGTGCTCATGGCGGCGGTAATCACTTACCATCAGGTGAGCCGCATGCTCGTTTGTCCCCTGTGTTATAAAAAAAAAATCTCATATAGCGTAGTGGCGTTTAAAACATCTTTTACGCCTTCGAATTCAAAACTGGACATGAAATTACTCTATTTCTTTGATTAGTCAACTAACTTGTTAAATATTCAAATCAAGTCATCTACGTAATTGCCTTTTTGGTCGGAAATAATATTAACCCCACCGTACCACCTTCTCCACCAGAAACAATCTCTAAGTGACAGTTCCTGCGTCGGTCCCTCAATCTAATTTCGAATCAATTAGAAATATTTCCTTTTATATTTATTTCTAACGTTGCCTCTGAGAGAGAGCTCTTTATACTAAGAATTGCAATCTTGTGCTGTCATCCTTACTTAATAATCATTACATAGTATAAAATAAAGTCGCTGTCGCTGTCTGTACGTCCCTATGTATACTTAAATCTTTAAAACTACGCAACGGATTGTGAAGCGGTTTTATTAATAGATAGAGTGATTCAAGAGGAATGTTTATATATATAACATGCATACACCCGTGCGAAGCCAGGGCGAGTAGCTAGTATAATATATATGTGTGAACGTATACATTACAATATTTAAAATAATAGCTCAATAAAATGTACTAAAACAATGAACCTAAAATTAAAAACCTTAAAAAATATAATATAATAACTAAAATATATTATACATATATGATATATTTATATTAGAAATACGAATGTAAACTCTGTATGTCTGTCGCGTTTTCACGCCAAAATTACAGAACCGATTTAAATGAAATTTGGTACATATATAGTCCAGAACCTGAAAAGGATATAGACTATTTTTTGGTATTGAGGTTGAAAATGGAGTTGAAAGAAATATCATAATTATTAAAGCTAGAAGCTTGAAACGTATTTTTTAGTTTGTTGATTATATATAAATAGACTAGCTACTCGCTCCGGCTTCGTCCGGGTGTACATGTATTATACATATAAACCTTCCTCTTGAATCACTCTATCTATTAAAAAAACCGCTTCAAAATCCGTTGCGTAGTTTTAAGGATTTAAGCATACATAGGGATAGACAGCGACAGCGACTTTGTTTTATACTATGTAATGAAATGATGATGATGTGACATTCAAAGTTTGTAAAGGTATTACTCTGTGTTGGTGAATGTTTATATAGAAGTTGGCCATTCTTGAATCTACAACGATGTCATGCATGTCGTTTGTGAAATAATTAGTCGAAATAAATAGAAATTCCAACCGGACGAAGTCGCGGCCTTACCTAGTGTTAAATATAAAGTAAATAGTATATCTTTGTACACGTTTCAGAATATTATTACACTTTGATTAATTGTAAGAGAGTAACGTAAACGGATCGGGCTGAAATTTGGCATGCAGATAGATGTTATGACGTAGCATCCGCTAAGAAAGGATTTTGATTAATTCTACCCCCAAGAGGATAAAATAGGGGATGAAACTTTGTCAATTTTAAACCGATCGGGCTGAGACTTTGCATGCATAAAGCTACTATGACGTAGGCATTCCCTAAGAAAGGATTTTGATAAATTCCACCCCTAAGGGGATAAATTAACGCGAGCGAAAGCTTTATGCTTTGCAAATATATTGTTATTATGAAATTCAAGAACCTTTCATCAAAGTGTCACTTAATATCAGAATACGAGAGGATGATATTAAAATAATGTTGTATCAATGTGGACTTAGAATAGTACTAGCTTTTGCTCGAGGCATCGCTCGCGTTAATTTATCCCTTTAGGGGTGGAATTTATCAAAATCCTTTCTTAGCCTACGTCATAGTAGCTTTATGCATACAAAGTCTCAGCCCAATCGGTTTAAAATTGACAAAGTTTCATTGAAACTTTCATCATCATCCCGTATTTTATCCCCTTGGAGGTAGAACTAATCAAAATCCTTTCTTAGCGGATGCCTACGTCATAACATCTACCTGCATGCCAAATTTCAGCCCGATCCGTCCAGTGGTTTGGACTGTGCGTTGATAGATCAGTACGTCAGTCAACTTTGAGTTATATATATTTAGATAGAATAGAATAACATTTATTACATCACACATCAAAACACAGTGAAAACGATACTGACAGCTGTATATAAATTATTATATAAGATATACGTATATAAAAACAATGCATTAAATTAGAGATGAAATCATTATATACAGAACAAAAAATAAAAGTACAGGCGGCACGTACCAAGAAGTTGTGCCCTGTCGGTGCTGTGTCACAATGTTTTTATGTTACCTTATATTATAATGATGTACCATAAAATCATTAGACTATAAATGTATAATGAATTCTAAATAGAAATACTGTTTAGTAGTTTGTATTTACAGTATCATTATATAGTATAGAACAAAGTAGTTTAGGTTATAATATTAGTTATCTAATGTCTTAAACAATCTAAAACAAAAACATACACATATGACAATGTATATGGAAGAGCGGGATGTATCACATCAGGCATTTCTATGCTTACTAAACTTATTAAATATAATAAAAAAATAAATAATAATAATAATAATCTCAAGACAATTCACACAGCGCCATCTAGACCCAAGTTAAGCTAGCTAAAGCTTGTGTTATGGGTACTAGATAACTGATACAAAAACATAGATATTTTTTTTCGTAAATATATACATATTATACATAGAAAACACCCAGACCGATACAAACAATCATACTCATGAATACAAATCTTTGTGCCGTGCGAGGAATCGAACCCGCGACCATCGGATGTAAAGCGGTGTGCTAGACCGCTATACCACCGAGGTCTTATGGTTATATATTCTTGTTTACCATTCAAATATGGTAAATAAAATATCATATTATACTGAAATGTGTAGAAAATACCACAGACTATTCTGCGTTCCACCCACCCAAGGGATGCCAGAGCGTCAATTACGAACATTCCCCCTCTTTCCTACATAAAAGGAGGTACTGTACTTACCATCTTTTTCCTTTCCGCGGCGGAAATTAAAGTCGAACAGTGAAATAATTTCAGTAAAATTGACTAAGCTCGTTTTGTCGCTCACGCTCGTTAATATTTTAAGACACTTCTCAGTTTCGTGTCGAAGTTTGCTGTAAAACAAGTTTAATCTTACTAAGTAGCTATAATAAGTTTCCCGATTTGTGTTTGCGCCGAAAATGCGAAGCTAATCAATATAGGTGAAGCTTTGTGGTCTAGCTAGCTTAACTTGGGTCTAGATGGCGCTGTGCGAATTGTCCTGAGATTATTATTATTATTATTTGTTGTAGGATTCTAAAAAAAAAGCACACGATTATACATAAGTTTAATAAGTTTAGTAAGCATAGAAATGCCATATATGGTTTTTTTTTTATTATTTAAGAATAGAATAGAATAGAATAGAAAATCATTTATTCAAATAAACTTAATTTAAGCACTTTTGAATAGTCATAACAATTTGTTTTTTATCTACCACTCGTTCGGAAAGCTGTCTCATCACAAGAAGAACGAGCAAGAAACTTGTGTGTTGCTCTTTTAAATAATCCTTGTAAGTTTACATTTACAAGTCGAAACGTGTGAATACAAACTACCAACAAGCACTAATTTTTTGGGTCAAATATAATCATGCAATAAGATTAAATCAGTCGTAGTGATAAGAGCAGACCAGTCCCTACAAGCAGCACTCGTTCACGAGTATGACGGATGAGCCAGCCATCACTGCGCTCGACCATATTTTAGGGAGGGAGCCCATTGACCCGGCCCACCACGCCGCCACATGTCTGGACATTTTAGTGAGCATGACTACTCATTCCACACGACCACGTCACAGCTACAAAAATTACTATATGGTAGTTACAGTATTCGCACTTTACATAAGGATGCATGCGGCAATCAATACAAAAGCCGCTACGCTATCATATATCAAGAAAGCAGTATGAAAATTAAAATTATAACGTTGTCCGCAAATAAACTTATTCTTGCTAAAATAAACTTATATTGCTATCATCTATAAATTCATCTATCTTATAATAGGCTTTTTTACATAACATTTGTTTAATATAAGATTTGAATTGCCTTAAGATATTAGATAACTAATATTATAAACTAAACTACTTTGTTTTATACTAAGTATGATACTGTAAATACAAACTACTAAACAGTATTTCTATTTAGAATTCATTACACATTTATAGTCTAATGATTTTATGATACATCATTATAATATATTTATATTGTCGCGTACCAGGCAGTAACAAAACGCAATACAAAGAGAGCGTTCTGATTGGACCGCACACCCATCCAATTTAAATACGCAACGTAACGTACAGACTTAAAATATCAAGCGATCGATCTAACGTACATTTTGTTCACTCCACCAAGTTTGTAATTATCACAGTATTTTACCATTAAATTTAAGATAGTAAGCAAATTCTATCATTGTCTACAACCCTGTAATCTGCTGAAGCCATCAAACCTACCATCTATCATTCGAGCCGCATCAACACGTACCAATATATATTTGCATATGTATATATATGTATTATTTTTCTGTATGTATTTGTTATAATTTTTGTTTTTTTTTCATTCAATTAATTATTAAAGTGCACCGCCTTATTATCTCTGATCAACGCGACGAATAAATAATTAATTAAATAAATAAATAAATAAATGAATGAATGAATGAATGAATGAATAAATAAATAAATAATTAATTAAATAAATAAAAAAATATAATCTTTGTTGCAGACAAGTGCTAGACAATGGGACACTAGTTCTGCTACCGTTTCCAGCGACTCAATACCGTCCTGACATCCACTCGACCGTATACCGCTGCCGGGCCCACAACGCACACGGCGCCATACTCTCACGAGATATGCGTACTCAAGCCGGTAAGTAATTTTTTATTATTATAAATAGGTTTTACCTCATTTGATGAAAATAGGATATGAATATAAAAGCACGCTTCATCTCAGCCGGATGTGTACTGCTGGATATAGGTGACCCCAAAGATCTCCACGAGGATCGGTCCTGCGCTGCTCACACCTTCGCTTAATAGCACGAAGAAATATATTCACCATAGACTTGAGGAATAATTTTGTATGGATCAGAGTGCTGGCCCATAAAGGCGACGGATGAGAGACGACTGCATGCAACTGAAATGCGAATGTTGAGATGGATGTGTGGTGTGACGAGGATAGACAAGATAAAGAATGAATACATCAGAGGAAGTATGAAAGTGGCACCGATGTCGGAGAGGTTAAAGAGTAATCGTCTATCGTGGTATGGGCAAAGAGGTTTCATGTAATGCGTAGGAATGAAGATCATATCCTAAGGACGGTGTTACATATGAATGTGGATGGTTATAAGGGTAGAGGAAGACCGAAAAAGAGATGGATGGACTGTGTGAAAGATGATATGGTGAGAAAGGGAGTAAATAACGGGATGACTGCGAACAGAGATGAATGGAAGAGAAAAACATATTACGGCGACCACAAATAAATGGGATAAGGAAGAAGCAGATGATGATGAGACTTGAGGAATCCGGGGCTGTATTTCGACAGTTGTGTCGACATTGTGGTGTTGTGTTGTTGGTTGTTACGACATTCTCCGATTGTTCCAAATATTATGACGACCTCGGTGGTCTAGCGGTTTAGCACATCGCCTTATGTCCGATGGGCGCGGGTTTATTCCTCGCACGGCACAAACATTTGTATTCATGAATATGATTGTCTGTATCGGTCTGGGTGTTTTCTAAGTATAATATGTATGTATTTACGAAAAAAATTATCTATGTACTTGTATCAGTTATCTAGTACCCGTAACACAAGCTTTAGCTAGCTTAACTTGGGACTAGATGGCGCTATGTGAAATGTCCTGAGATTATTATTATTAATATATTAGGAACAACGCAGTACCATTACTTTAATAATTTTGAACAGAAATTGTAACTTCTTTATAATATATGTATTCATAGTATAAAACAAAGTCGCTGTCCCTGTCTGTCCGTCCCTATGTATGCTTAAATCTTTATAACTACGCAACGGATTGAAGCGGTTTTTTTCAAGAGATAGAGTGATTCAATGGAAGGTTTATATATATATATATATATATATAGTAGCTCTCCCGGCAAACGTTGTTTTGCCTTAAAATAAAAAAAAAATAGGGGTCGACTACCCCTAACATTTAGGGGGATGAAAAATAGATGTTGGCCGATTCTCAGACCTACTCAATACGCTCACAAAATTTCATGAGAATCAGTCAAGCCGTTTCGGGGGAGTATGGGAACGAAAACTGTGACACGAGAATTTTATATATAAGATATATGTACATCCGGCCGAAGCGAAGGATCCTAGTTAGTTATTATTAAATATACTCCAAATATATATATATATAATGTTAATACCGTAAATTATAACGTTTCGAATATGTAAAACAGTCTTCTACGTCTAATAAAGGAAATATGAAATAAATTGTATCATTCGCAGCGATGAGATATGTTAATTATGACCATCGTATCCGAGACAGCGTCTAGAAGTTTAACTTAAATGATATTATTCATCTGCGAAAAGATAATCAGGTTAACAACACTTCAAGAATTAGTAATATTTATAAAACTCATTCAATTTTTGATCTTATTGACGCTATCCGTTAATTAGTCAAACATAGAGGGACCAATAGATACATGAGAATAGAACAGAATAGAAAAGAAAGAATAGACAATCAAATAAGCTTAATTTAAACACTTTTGAATAGTCATACCATTGTTTTTAATCTACCGCTCATTCGGATATCTGTCTCATCACAAGAAGAACAAGCGAGAAACTTGTGTTGCTCTTTTAAATAATCCTTGAAATTTCGGATTTTTCAAGACGAAACTTTAAGAGATTTGCAATTAATATCAATATACCTAAAAATCTGCGAAGAGGAATCAGAATCGATAGCAAACCTAAATATTTAATGCGAGGGATCATGCGAACGTTAGAATGGCTTATACAGGGTGGCCCAGAAGTCACTTTACATTTTGAAAATTAAATAACTTTTTTTCTATTAATATATTTCGTTTTCTATTTTTAGAATTAAAAAATTTAATCCCTGGAAATTTTTATCATGGATAAGTTTACAACAGAACAACGAGTGAAGATAATTGAATTTTACTTTGAAAATGGATGGTCAATTGTTGCAACGCAAAGATCGTATATGCGCCATTTTAATGTTCGACATTAGTAGGCCTGCAGTAAGATTGCACTAATCGAACCTTGTAAGGGTACATGTGCAAGTCTCTTTGAATGCGCTGCAGAGAACTCCGTGAGATGCCAAGTTCTTGACAACGCCTTCGAGTGGATGTGGTTGGGTTCTCTTCTATGCTACGGCTCACAGCTTCAGTACTTTCACGTGTACGTACTGAAAGACCTCGTCCACTTCTAGTCCTATCACTTACAGAGCCATGCTGTTACTAAACGCTTCACTAAGTTCCTTATTGCAGGCCTACTAAGGGGATGTCGAACATTAAAATGGCGCATATACGATCTTTGCGTTGCAACAATTGACCATCCATTTTCAAAGTAAAATTCAATTATCTTCACTCATTGTTCTGTTGTAAACTAATCCATGATAAAAATTTCCAGGGATTATATTTTTTAATTCTGAAAAGAGAAAAAGAAATATATTAATAGAAAAAAGTTATTTAATTTCAAAATGTAAAGTGACTTCTGGGCCACCCTGTATAAAACCAGAAGATAACGCTAACATACATATTGTATCACAAAGAGATAACAAAGCTTCCGTCGAAGAATACAACATCCGAAAATAACCGAGGTGTAGGCAATAGATCCCAATGGATTGAAATACCTACGCAGAGATAAATCTAATCTACACACAACAAATGAAATAAGATACTCGTGTAGGAAACACGTAATGTGCCATCCATATTATGATATCATGAGATTTTGTAATTCATTCTAAATTTAGTAATGACATATTGTAATTTAAATAATGTAAATTGAATATTTTAATGGGTGAAAACTGTGATTGGTACAGTTTATGCTGTAAATAATATAAATGACGTAGTGGAGTAACTTGAAACAGTCATGCTCGCTATAAAGTTCAAACTTGTGGCGGCGTGGTGAGCCGGGTCCATGTGCTCCCTCTAATATGGTTGAGTGCAATGATGGCTGGCTCATCCGTCATACTCGTGAACGGGTGCTGCTTGTGGGGACTAGTCTGTTCAGGTTGCAGTCACTGATTAGATTTTTTGATTTATTTTTTCAATAGCATATGCTGGTGGTCACTCTATTCTCCCAAATTTGAATTTAAATGAAATTATATTTTGTAAATATGTACATTTAAAAAAAAATAGGTGCTGAGTTTCTTGTCAGTTCTTCTCATCTCGAAATCATTCCGAACTGACTGTAGATTTGACATATCATAAGAGTTTGTAATAGACCTACATGAATAAAGATATTTTGTACTTTGAATTTTTTTTTTAATTTTGAATTCAATAAGGGATTATTTGGTACTAGTTGGGCCTAAAAACCCCTTTGCTGGTAATCGTTTTAAGAGGTGTGGTACGTGATGATGCGGTTCGAACGCTCAGATGGTAGATGATGGTGCGGCTCGAATGATAGATGGTAGGTGTTAATAGCTTCAGCAGATTGCAGTGTTGTTGAAAATTATATAATTTACTTACTATCTTAAATTTAATGGTAAATATACTATTAATTACAAATTTGGCAGAGTGAACAAAAGTATGTTAGATAAAACGAATGATTTTTAAAAGTCTGTTCGTTAGGTTGCGTATTTAAATTGGATGGGTGTGCGCTCCAATCAAGGAGCGCTACCTGGAGAGATATCTACGTGATTTCCACAGTACCTATTTCACGAAACGAGACCAAAAGACGCGAAGTTATCAACCTTCTATACGAAACTGCATCGGGCTATGCAATAGTATCACTACATAGTATATAAAAAGTCGCTGTCGCTGTCTGTCCATCCTTATGTATGCTTAAATCTTTAAAACTACGCAACGGTTTTTGAAGCGGTTTTTTTACGTAGATAGAGCGATTCAAGAGGAGTTTATTAAGGACATTTTGTTGTAGCACCCGTGCGAAGACGGGGCGGATCGCTAGTTCTCAATAACCCATTAACTGAAGAGGCCATCAAAATTATTAATATAGTAAAGGTTGGAATATTAGAAATAAATTTACCATAATTTAGATATTACGTATTTTTGCACCGATGGGGGTGACATATTCTCCGGAATATACCCTCAATCTAAATATATATAACTCAAAGGTGACTGACATAGTGATCTATCAACGCACAGCCCAAACCACTGGATGGATCGGGCTGAGATTTGGCATGCAGGTAGATGTTATGACGTAGGCATCCGCTAAGAAAGGATTTTGATTAAATCTACCCCCAAGGGAATAAAATAGGGGATGAAAGGTACAGAATTATTACTCTATATATACATAAGCCACGGTTACCACTTACCGTCAAGTGAGTGACGACGAATTTGACGACCTCGATGGTCTAGCGGTCTAGCACACCGCTTTACAACCGATGGTCGCGGGTTCGATTCCTCGCACGGCACAAACAATTGTATTCATGATTATGATAGTTTGTATCTGGGTGTTTTCTATGTAAGGTATGTATATATTTACAAAAAAAAAACTATATATATGTATCAGTTGTCTAGTACCCATAACACAAACTTTAGCTAGCTTAACTTGGGTCTAGATGGTGCTGTGTGAATTGTCCTGAGATTATTATTATTCTTCTCACTATCGTCTCACTCTCTCAGCTTTTGCTGGTTTTTTTTCCACACTTTATTATTATAATTATAATCTATACATATAAATAAAAGTGTCTGTTTGTAATATTGAAATAA